CCCCAAAACCCCAAAACCCCAAAACCCCAAAACCCCTTGGATTTTTGAAAAAATTGAAAAATTTATTTTGAAAATGGCGGTTTTGGTAAGAGAAAATTTGGGATAAGTGGGGTTTTGGGGTTGAGGAAGGAACCAGAGATGGGTGTATGGTGTGGTTTTGGGTGGAGGTGGTGGGATTAGGGTTAGAGTAGTGGGGATTTTTGTGTGGAAAAATTTTGGGGAGGAGAAGTTGGGAGTTGGAGAAGGGGTATTGTGTGAAGAAGTTCTGAAGTGTTGTTTAGGGTAATATAACTCAGCAAAGGATCCTCTCACAGAAGATCATAGGGAAGTTAAGTAGAACTCTCAGCTTAGGAGTTCATCAAACTACTTTTGGCATGCAGAATCGCAATAAAGTAAGTGGGATTTAAACTATTTTGTAGAAATATCAGGGAGAAATGGAGAGTGCATACAGATATTCTTCAATTCACTCTATCTTTCATAATTCAGTCAGGAGTAAGGACAATGAAAGAGGCTATAATTACAAAATTATCATCAACCAATGTTCTCAATAAATTTAGTTTCAAGGATTACATCTATATCCAGATAGAAAGGATTCCGTAATCTTACACCTCATTTCCATACTTTATTCTTCCATCTCTATTTTATAGCATTTTTAAAGCCGCAAGATAAAACTTATATAGCTTTGGATACAAAAGATATGATTAGAACAATCATTTGCCGTAAAAACAAGCTTTATTTATTTTCAAAACACATTGCGGACTTTGTAACCTCCAGTGCTCAGCTCACTAAGCTAGGGCTATTCTCAACCAAAATGTCATCAATAGCTTACCAAGCTAGCTTAGATGCCTGCACAAGCACACAACTCAACTCTGATTCTAAGAAAAAAATGAGCAAGAACAAATCTGAGAAGAGAGCCAATAAAGGGCCAAAAAAGCCAAAGAAGAATAAAGGGCAAGTGGACTACACTGCTCCTCCAATCACTCTGGTGGATATCCGTGTCGGTCAGATAACCAAGGTCAGTAAACACCCTGATTCTGATAAGCTGTACTTGGAAGAAATAGATATTGGAGAAGCTGAGCCACGCTTCATTGTCAGTGGGCTCCAACAATTTGTTCCAATAGACCAAATGGAAAACGCCATGGTCTGTGTAGCAGCCAATCTTAAGACCAGGAAATTAGGTGGATATCCAAGCCAAGGCATGGTTCTTTGTGCCACAAGTGAGGATTTCACCTCTGTTGAGCTCTTAACTCCTCCTAAAGGAGCCAAGCCAGGAGATATTGTGAAATTTGAAGGTGTCGAGCATAATGCACCACCTCAGCTCAATCCAAAGAAGAAGATTTTTGAGAAAGTCCAGAAAGACTTCAAAGTTGATTCGAATGGAATTGCGTACTACAAAGATCTAGAATGGAAGCATGAGAATGGGCCGTTTACAGCTACAACTATTAAGAATGGACTTATTTGTTAATCATTCTTTAATACTCTTACTTATCGAAAAGTATATCGTTAATGAAGTATCATTACAGAAATTCCATAATGTTATTATATTAGGATAGAATCTAGCATTCTCCATTAGAAATTTAAATTCCAAGATTCAATCTAAGATGCTCTCTGAGGGGTTTTGGGGTTTTGGGGTTTTGGGGTTTTGGGGTTTTGGGG